ATATATATATATATATATATATATATATATATATATATATATATATATATATATATATATATATATATATATATATATATATATATATATATATATATATATATATATATATATATATATATATATATATATATATATATATATATATATATATATATATATATATATATATATATATATATATATATATATATATATATATATATATATATATATATATATATATATATATATATATATATATATATATATATATATATATATATATCCCACATAGCAAAATTTCTCTGGCCCAGCTCTGGCGCACACAATCAGGTTTTGCTTGGCCCACATGCCGCAGTGAATTACGGTACATGACTGGACCAAATCTGGCTTCCAGACAAGGGCCAAACACAGACCATATCTGGGCCAAGTCTCAGCCAAGTTAATAACTCATAACTGGGCCTGAACTGGGCCAGATAGGTTGGTGTGTCACGATTGCAATAAAATTGATAAACCCATGGAGTGATGCGCTTTAGGCACACTATGGGCACGCTTTTTCTCAAAGTGACCTGATTGGTAGAATTTTTTTTCTTTACTCAAAAATGATTTTAGTGTATTTTAAATGTGGGTCAAGACTGGCCAAACTCACATGGCCCACTTATCCAATTTTTAAATCTGGGCCAAATACTACGTTTTTCATCTGGCCCAAATCTTGTGTACCGCCTTAAAAACGGTGCCACCTCTGCCAAACCCGGGCCATGTTTGGCCCACATGCTGTATGCCAGTGCCGGATGAATGCCTGCTGTGCCAGTTTTTTGCCAAATCTGGGCCAGAATTCTTTGCTATATATATATATATATACATATGTCTTTTGCATCTCCAGAATGTGTCTGTAAAGTTTCAAAATCTCAAAACATCCATCAGATTATATATTATACCTTTCACAATATTGGAATTTTCTGCCCTGAACACATTGTAGCTGTTTTGGTTGCCTGTGCCTTTAATGCAAATAAGCTAGTTCTCCCTTCCCAGATCTCACAGAGATCAGATCTCACGCAACGTCTGTGAGAAATACTACAGTAAGAAATTTCCCAATGATTATTTAATGTATTTGTTGTGGAGTTAACTCAAGCCTTTTTGCAATGAGTCATACATAGACTAGGGATGCACAATATATCGTTTCAGAATCAATATCGCAATGTGTACATTCGCAATAGTGACACTGCAGCATCTTCAACGTGGAGTTGGAATTATATCAGTTGATCAACAATGGAGAATGTACAGTGTTTACATTTTACAGTACATTTGATTATTTGATAATAGGGGTAAGACAAAATAGTGATATGCATGAGGTGACGCTTCTCGTAATGGAGGATCAAACATATATCAATGTTGCAATTCTACGAAAAATATGCGCTGTTAATAAAATAAATACATCTTAAAACTTTTTGATGCATATTGTGGAGGGTTTTCTTGTGTATATCTCTGTTATTGTTATCTATTATTATCGGGGGCAAAATATCGTGATAATATCGTATCGTGTTGCTGTATCACTTTTATTTTTATCTTATTTATTCTTGTGATTTCTTTGATTCACTCGTCTATAAGATTATTCCAATCTAAGTTAATGATTTCATTCCAGATAGAGCTATTCAAGTCATCTGCCAATATTGTGTTCATATCGCAATGTAAATAGCAGCAAAATAAAATAGCACAATGTCAGATTTATCTAATATCATGCAGCCCTAGCATAGGTAACACTATTTAAATTAAATCAAATTGAACGAATGTCTCTTTACGTGTGCAGTGTAAAGGATTAAAGTCAAAGCACTTACGTAAGGGATGCCAAAGAGGTTAAACTCCAGCATGCCAGGTATCGCCCACTTAATGTCATTCCAGTTGGCGCCGTTGTCTCCCAACCAATGCCCAGAATATTTGCCCACACCGGGGAATGAAGAGCGGGTGAAGACCATGGATCGGTTGGTCCCAAACACTTCTTTCGATGCCCTAGAAGCAAAAAAAAAAAAATAATAATCACAAAATTGCATTGCTGGCACGATGATAAAATCCACACGAGGGAGGCTTTGGAAAGACACGATGCCAAGTAGGGTGGCCCAGAAAAACAGAGAAATGACAAACACACAAGCTGGAGTTAAGTGGGAGTTGAGCTGAACGAGAAAGGGGGCGTATAGAGAAACGAGAGTGGAACAAATCAATGATGTAGAAATTACAAGATGAGTAAAACAGATTTCCTGCTGAAAATAAAAGCAGCAAGAAGGAGCAAGCATGATACAATTGAGATCTATTCAAGCCCCTTTGAGGAAAACATCCGGCCTTATGACAGTTCTGGCCATACGCTAGTGAAACGCTGAGTCACACGTGAGGCTTGTTGAGTCAGTACTGCTGTGACTGACTCAGAGCTGGCGCGTTTTTCCAGCATTCACCAAATAAAGCACTTCAATTATTTTCCTTTTTTTTGGATTGTCCTTAATGTGTTTCCTAATGATAAAGATTATTATTATTTTAAAAATATAGATTTTTTTTTTCTTATTCACATACAGCTGGAAAAATAAGCATTGAACATGTCATGTTTATTTCCTGGGAATATTATTTCTAAAGGAGCTGTTTACATGGAATTGAACCAGCTTTGGTAAAAACTCAAACAAAACAAACATAAAAACGAAACAAAACAAAACAAAACAAAACAAAACAAAACAAAACAAAACAAAACAAAACAAAACAAAACAAAACAAAACAAAACAAATCTGAAAAATGAGTTCTGTGTGATAACAATTGATTAACACAAGGAGAAAGCACTGAACTACGGAAACATATTTAATACTTTATATAAAGGCTTTATTGGTGCTGACAGCTTAAAGCATACCTGTCAACCCTCCCGTTTTTCCCGGGATTCTCCCGTATTTTACTGTTCAATCCCGCTATCATACCGCAAAGGTATTTTCCTGTATTTTCAGTCTTTCTCTGAGCAGCCGAGCCTCCCTACACACCGCTCCTATCGCCGAACCACCAGGGGTCACCCCTAGCTCTAAAACGGGAGTCTTCTGTGCTTTCGCTTTGTTTAGTAATGAAAACACTTATAAATGAATATTAATAACGGTGCGATTCCATTTCCTTTTGATTACAGGTGCCGTCGCCCGTCCTATACAATCCTATATATATATATATAATATTTTAATGTCATGAAAAAAAAAAAGATTTTAAAAAGACTTTAAAATGTTGATTTAAATATGAAATACGTTTCAAAGCAGTAGTTTGTAGCTGCATAATACAAAATACAGACCAAATAATTTTAATAACTCCAGCTATTTAAAAATGATAGTAATGGCAACTATTAAACTTAACTTTTCCAAATTTGATTGTAATGCAATAATGAGCATCTTTTATAAAGCTGCTTTGAAACAATAATTATTGTGAAAAGCGCTATACAAATCAACTTGAATAGAATTGAATATAAAGTGCAACACTCACCTCTCAGTGGCCAGAACCATTGAGTAGCCATAAAGACTGTGGACATCATAGTGGTTCCCCCATTTCTGTTTAGCATCCATACACAAGGTCTTACTGTACATCAGGTCATCAAGGATACCTTAGAGAGCGAAAATAAATACGAATGATTACAGATGGTCAGCATGTGAATAAACCCAGCAGAAGATGTGTTTGAGTGAGACTCACGTGGGGTGAACGGTGGATAGTTGAGTTTGTTGTCAGCGCAGCCTTTGTTACTTCCCTTTATAAAGTTGGAGATCTCGTTCATGTCCTTGGAAACAAAACAGTAATTAGTTCAGCGCTCGCTAATTCAGGCTGATAATTGTCTGGAGATTAAAGCAGAAAACCCTTAAGGGAGGCTTTAAAGTCAACATGAAATGGCATTCGCGACCGTTTTACTTTCATTATGCGACAAATTGTGGGGCAGGACTTGATTTTATCAGTTAAGAATTGACTGGATGGTGTAAAGTGTGTGAGCTAAATGTTCTTCGACAAAGTCACTACACTGCTTTCTCTATTGTAATACAGTAATGCATTTCCTGTAAAGCCGATTGAAATGATATGTACTTAATTAATGAAAACTATTTAATTGAATTAAACTGGAGCTCATACTGGTAGTGGGACAGTTTAAGGCTTTTCACCATTTAAAGCCGGTACACACTGCGACGCTTTTCGTTCATGCTTATCATCAGCGTTTTTTTTTAGATGTTTTTCCGCATTCAAACGCAAACGATGAGCAGAGTGAAAGTGCAAAATCACCACCTGACGTTAGATGCCGCTTAATGAACTTACAAGTCATGAAAGAAAAGTGACCATCGAATCCTATGTGCTACTCTCACTAATAACTCCCTCCTGCCGACATTATTGTACCATCTCAGAAATTATTTGGTTCCTCAAAGGTACTTTTTAGGTACATTCGGGTACTAATAAAATACCTTTTAGGTACCACTGTGGACTATTTGGGTATAAATATGTACATTTAAAAAAGGTACTGCCCCATTGACTGCTCCTGTACCTTTATTTCTGAGAGTGTAGTTGCTGCTGCATTTATCATACAGCTCTATGTGTTCAGAGACCAATGAAAAAAGCAGCTACACATTCATCTAGACTCACCTTCTTCAATTCTTCTTCAATTAATAAATGAAATGAAAATAAATGAAATGAAAATAAATAAATATATAAATGAAAAAAATAACAATAAAACATAATAATAAAATACCATACAAAAAAG